TGCCCTTCAGACATGGCCACAGGCCAGTCCAATAGAGGCAATTCCCCAATTGAGGCTCCCTCAACCCAGGTGTGTCAAGTTGACACTAAAGCTATCCAGCACAGTCTTTTTGAGACAGGATCTCCCTGTAGCCTCAGCTGGCCTGGAGCTCATTATGTAGAGCAGGCTGGCCTTGAACTCTCAGAGATCTGCCTGCCTCTGCCTCCTGAGTGCTGGGATTAAAGGCATGCGCCACCATGCCTGGCTTAGTAAAATATTCTTTTTTTTAAAGTTTATTTTTATTTTATGTGTATGAGTGTATTGCCTGCATGTAGGTAAGTGCACCTGTGTCACGCAATGCCCTCAGAGGACAAAAGAGGCCATCAGATCCCCTGGAACTGGAGTTACAGACAGTTGTTAGTTGCCATGTGGGTGCTGAGATTCGAACCCAGGTATTCTGCAAGAACAACCAGTGTTCTTAACCACTGAGCCATCTCTTCAGCTCTGTAAAATAGTCTTTAAAAAAAGAAGAAAAGGAAAGGAGACAAGAAGAGGAAGAGAGAGAACCAAAAGCTAGGCGTATAACTCAGTGATAGGAACGCCCTGGGTTCCATCCCTAGAACTAGGTTCCATCCCTAGAACTAGGTTAAAAGAAGTGGGTGGGAGCCTGGTTTGGTGGCCCACAAGAGGCTACACAGAGACCCCATCTTTAAAAAACAAAACAAAACTGTGTGGGGCTGACCCACTAAGCATCACTAGGATGAGGAAGATGAGGGAGTTAAAGGAGGTTTTGAGTGAGTCATTTAAATGGACAGATTGCAGATGGACAAGTGGAGTTTTCACAAACTGCACGGTGCAGTGCTGAGGTCAGCGCACCCCTTCCCTCTGGCCACTGCCTCATTACGCTTGGGTTCAGTGGAGCTACTGGCCATACAAATGTACCTCAAAAGCATTTGGGAAAAGCAAAGTTCATGAGATGAGGCTCCAGTGAGGAAAAAAGAGTGACTACAAAATATCAACCTTGAGGGGCTGGAGAGACGGCTCAGCAGTTAAGAGCACTGACTGCTCTTACAGAGGACCCGGGTTCAATTCCCAGCACCCACATGGCAGCTACAAACCATCCTTAACTCCAGTTCCAGAAGAATCCGAAGCCCTCTTCTGACCTCTGCAGCATTGCTGGACGTGGGTGCGCTCACATACATGCAGGCAATACACTCATACACATAAAATAAAAATAATAAACAAAATTTTTTTAATTAATTTTTTTTTTTGGTCTTTTTGAGACAGGGTCTCCCTGTAGCCTCAGCTGTCCTGGAACTCACTATGTAGACCAGGCTGGCCTCGAACTCACAGAGATCTGCTTGCCTCTGCCTCCCGAGTGCTGGGATTAAAGGCATGTGCCACCATGCCCGGCCCAAAATAATAAGTAAAATATTTTTTAAAAAATCAACCTTGCTTAGTGGGGAATCACTGGCATCTTCACAGATGGGAAGAGATGGGAGAGCCTGAACTGCTCTCTAAGCCACACAAGAAATGAGCCTTTGCCTCGGGAGTGGAGACCAGGCAGGCCTGCTACCTACAGATCTGGTCTAAGAGCCAGTGCCCCTTGAGCCTCCACTGGTGTGCCCAAACTGAGCCTATATCCTTCCATGGAATTGGAGGGCAGAGTGAAAAAAGGACATCCCTTGCTCCTAAAGAGCCCAGACCAGAAGCTCAGAGTACCTCCAGATCCTGCTGCCCCTAGGCAGGGTCCCCCTTCCTCCCCAGTCTGACAGCCTCATCTAGGAAGGAACATGTGCACAGGTGCTGGTGCATGCCTGGCACATCTGCTGGTGCTTCCAGGAGGTGGTGCCAAAGGGGAGTCTCCAATGGGAGGCTGGGTAGGCTCTGCCTAGCTGGAGGCTGACTCCTGAACTTTATGGCCAGGCTGGATTTATGGAAGAACCAGTTGAGAGCTGTCGCAGGGTGGTCCTAGAGGGTCTGGTCAGACAGACCCCACATGTGGCACCATCTTCTCATCCCTGGGGTTTAAAAAGCTGGCTGCCAGCCGGGCGTGATAGTGCAAGCCTTTAATCCCAGCACTTGGGAGACAGAGGCAGATGGATCTCTGTGAGTTCAAGGCCTGGTCTACATAGTGATTCCAGAACAGCTGGGGCTACAGGGAGACCCTGTCTCAAAAAGGAAAAAAAAGAAAAGTTGGCTGCCACCAATAGGTCTACCTGACCCAAGAGCTAATGCCCCTTGAGCCTCCACTGGTGTGCCTGGATCCTTCTCCCAAATAATGGCCCTCTGGGTAGCAGCAAAAGGCTTTTGGGTCATAGTCCTACCATTGTGACTTCAGCTTAGTTTACCCCTGCCTGTTTCCTTAGAGACCAGAGTAGTTTCTGGTAACTAGATCAAGATTCGAAAGATATCCTCCCTTCACCATTAGGCCCCCATGTCACCCAGGCTTGAAACAACCGTATTAAATGCCTAAAATTGTCATTTTATTTTACTCATTGTCAGTGCAGGGTTCAGCTAAGGTACAGTGTGACTGCTTCAAAGAGATTGTGGAGTGGGAGGGGCTGGGAAAGACAAACCTTCCTTGGGGCTGACCCCCCCAGTAGACTTTTTTGCTGGTGACTGACCATCAGACCCTAGCCCCAGCAATCCCAGGGCTGTGCTGAACAGGTTGATAGGAGAGGAGCCATCTGTGATCAGGGTGGATTTGAGACCCAGTGACTGAAGAAGTTTCACCTGCAGGAGGTGGGAAGACAGAGTCAGAAGCTGGCAGCTTAGTTCAGCTGTCTTCCTAGGAAGCCAGCCTTCAGAGCAACCTTAGCCAAACTGATTTTTAAGGGCCACCATCAACTTCATTGTGTTGCCCTTCTAGCATTGACTGACTGATGTCTCATCTCGTGACTGTCTACTGTAGCAACTCTAGCTCTGCAGAGTCTACCACAATGTCTAATGCTTGTGCAGCACAGTACTGCTCAAGTGACAGCATGAGGAGGGTTCATTCCCCCCTTTCCACCCTCCAACATTTTCTCAAATGTGTTTGCCTTCCACCTCCTTAGTTCCAAGACTGGTTCCAAGACAAACATCCCCTCTCCTGCCCCCTTCAACTCTCACCTGCATCTCTGGTCCAGCCACAGCCAGGTCCTTGATGGTGTTGGGGCCCAGAGCCTCTGTCATCTGCTTGAACTTCTTTGCCTCCACCTCTGCTAGCTGCTGAGCCTTGCTTACCTCCAGCTGCAGCTGGGCCTGGGCATAGACCAGTTCTAGCTCACGTACTTTCTTTACACGCTCCAGCTCAGCCTCCTGGAAGGAGAAACCAGGCTGGCTTTAGATCATGTGGCCTGGGAACTGTCCAGAAAGTCACCCAGGCCAGCAACCCTGAGGGAAAAGAGATAGAAGGGATTGAGTTACGAACTTTTAGTCAGTAGGGTGCATGTAAATCTCAGGTAGGCCAACTATTTAGCTAGTGACTCATAGGAAGGAACTCCTTAATCCAAGTCTTGGTGTAAAATGTAAGTAACACTTACTTCAAGCATGAAATAAGGTCACACAACAAAGGGGGCAATGCTTGTGTGTTCATCTGTGAAACGGGCATAAAAATTCTCATTTCCAAGTACTCTACCAAGTACACTGCTACAGGGCAGAGAACTTTACAAACCATAAGGAGTCTGAACAGTGTTTTTTGTCAGGTACTTGGTGTCCCATCTGATTTCATGGCCTTTAATGAACAGGCCTCCTTCAGGCCCCAAAGCCATACCCTTCCACTAGCAGCCCCCCAACTCACTGTCTCAATGGCCAATGCCTGTGCCTTTAGCTTGGCCTGCAGCACGGAGCCTTCTCCCTCGATCCGTGCTGCCTCTGCGCGGGACTCAGCCTCTGCCTTGGCATTCCCAGTGCTCTCCACAGCCATGCTGAAGGGGACAGAGGTGGGTAAAGCCCAGGAGGAAAGCCCGCCAGGGATCTGAGTCTTAGTTTTAATTAAAATTTTTTAAAAACTTTCATTACAGCTACGTATTGTATGGGGGGGCACCATGGTGCAAGTGTAGAGGTAGAAGACGATTGCAGAAGTCAGCTTTCTCCTTCTGCCATGTGTCCCAGGGACTGAACTCAGGTAATCAGGCTTGGTGGCAAGCGCTTTTATCCACTGAGCCATCTTGATGAGTCATGATTTTTTTATTTTCTTGCAATGTTGGGGATGGAGCCCAGGGTCTTATGCATGCTAGGCAAGTGCTCTACCACGGAGCCACAATTCTGGGGCTTAGATTTGGCCATGCCACATGCTCTGTCTGTTTCCTGTTCCCTGCTCCATCCAGCAGATTTTCAGACCCCCAGACTGGCCAGTCTTTCCATGCCCAGTTCTTTGTTTTTTGAGACAGGATCTTCCTATAACCCCAGCAACCTGGAACTCACTATGTAGACCAGGTTGGCCTTGATCTCACAGAGATCTCCCAAGTGCTGGAGTGCTGGAATTAAAGGTGTGTGCCACCATGCCAGGCTTCATCTCCAGTGTTTGACCCACCTCATGGCCTCAAGCTCCAAGAGCTCCTTGCGAGCCTTTTCAGCTTCTGACTGGTCCAAGATCTTCTGCCTCTCAAGCCGGCCACGGGCTTCTTGCTCTAGTCGCTGAGCCTCATGCCTGGATGAGAGCAGGGACAGGTGTAGGGCCAGAGCTGAGAAAAGAGCACCTGGACTGACCCTGTCCTCCTCCTGAGCAGGCTGCAAGCAACCCTTGAGTATTCCAGGCCTGAGGAAGGCATGCCTCACGCCCCTGCTTTCACTGGAGGTGCTCTCTAGTGGGACGCAAACAGGCCAGGGTGATTTCAGGGTCAAACACCTGAGAGCTAGCAGCTGTAAGAGAAAGGGAAGGACTCTCCAAGGGAGAGACCTTGGTACTTGGGAGGAGCCTGCCTGGAAAGCGTTCTAGGTGAAGTGAAAGGCCCAAGGTGGGAGCACTATGCACATGAAGAGAACCAGTGGGGCTGAAGCAAGTCCACTAGGATTATCCATTGGAAGGTGCAGGACAGGGAGGCCATATTGGATTCTGGAACACCTGGAAAGCTCTAGAAAGAGTCTCAGCAAAGGGGAAGGCTGGGAGGAATGCCCTCTGACTCACACTTTGAATAGGTCATGCTATATACTGGATGGCAGCAGGCCAGCCATTTGGGGACACCATGTCATTTGGGCTCAGGAACTGGCTGAGATGCCATCCCCACCCCTGCACTACTCACTTGGCTGCTGCCTCCTGGGAGTTGGTGGTGATCTCGATGGCCAGCTGGACGCTGCGCTGGAGGGCATCCCGGGTCCTCTGGTCCACAGGCTCCACTGACTGTACATCCACACTGCTGACCACCAGCCCATTTTGGGGAAAGGTTGCCTGGTTACGGGGCCTGGGCAGGAGTGTGCCATCAGGGCCTGTATCTTCGGACATCTCAAAGCCAAAAACAGCCGTGCGAATGATACGGGCTGAGTTCTTATGGAAGTCGTCGAAGGTAACAGAGGCCACAGCCCCCCGGACACGGGATGCAATGGCCTTGCAGGCATCACCCACAAAATCGGGCACAGAGAAAAGCTTGGCTGTCTCCTCAGGATCATTCCGGTTCTTCAACTCAAAGTGCCTGTGAGCAAAAGAGGCCCAGAATGGGGAAGCTAGTTTCCCACAATCCTTTCTCTAGGCAGGACTTCAACACCTATCCTCTGTGGCTGGGCAGCACCTCCTACAATGGAGATGCTAATTGGTGCCCAGCAAACTCCTAAGAAACTTAACACTTGTTTTCATTTAATCTTCTCAGCCATTCCAGAAGATGGAGATGAGTTTCCTTCCCGGTTTACAGAAGAGGAAATAGAGGTTGAGAGGTGTTAAGTGACTGGCTCAAGGTCACATAGCATATGGCAAGCCAAAACTCTGAATCCAGGCAACATGGCTCTAGAGTCTATGCTCCTAGCTAGCTGTCACCAAGCATGCACTGTCTACATCAGAGTATTGCTGCTTTCAGCCAAGAGATGAGGAACCTTATTCTTCCATGTGACTTACGTAATTCAAATAGCTGCCATTTATACTCACTAGTAATGCAATCATATATGGGTTTTAGTTTTTTAAAATATGCTTGTTTGAGATAGGGTCTCATGTAGGAGACCCAGGCTGGCCTTGAACTCTCTTTCAGCTGAGGCAGGCCCTGAATTCCTGATCCTCCTTCCTTTACTTCCTGTGTTCTGGGAATTACAGGCACCTGCTGGCTTATAAATTTTATTATTATTATTATTAATTATTATTATTATTATTGTGTATATATGTGTGCACAGTGTGGGGAGGGGCATGTGCCACGGTGTGGTGCATGTGGAGGTCAAAGGAAAACTTTGTGGAGTCAGTTCTCTCCCTCTACCTTTATGTGGGCTCTGGAAATCAAACTCAGGTAGCCAGGCTTTGCACAGCAAGTGCTTTTTACCAGCTGAGCCATCTTGCTGGTCCCCTGCTGGCTTTAAAACAAAATTATTTCACAATTTCATTAACTCTATCTATCTATCTATGTATCTATGTATCTATGTATCTATCTATCTATCTATTTTTTTTTTGGTCTTTCTGAGACAGGGTCTCCCTGTAGCCCCAGCTGTCCTGGAACTCATTATGTAGACCAGGCTGGCCTTGAACTCACAGAGATCTTCCTGCCTCTGCCTCTGGAGTGCTGGGACCAGGGTGTGTGCCACCATACCAGGTATCCCCCTCCTATTTCTATGATGAATTTAATGAGGGTTGCTTGCATGAGCAGGGTATGGGGGGGTTACCTGGAGTGCTGGCAACTTGTTATGGGATAACTTGTCGGCACTAAAGAAAAATGACTCCCTCACGCCCAGCACCCCAGCATTTAAAAATTTCATGACTGCCTTTCAGCCATCAGGTAAGCACGATGCTTCTTGTGCAGGTTGCCAGACAGCAAAAAATCACTCACGGTACAGGGCTCAGCAGTGGGCCTCTGAGCATGGGTGCTGGCCACGTGCTCACACTGCCCAGGTCCACTGTTTATGAGCAATTATTCTTTAAAAAATCTTGCAGTAGAGCCAGGCATGGTGGCACAAGCCTGTAGTCCCAGCACTTGGGAGGCAGAGGCAGGCGGATCTCTGGTGAGTTCAAGGCCCGCCTGGTCTACATAGTGAGTTCCAGGACAGCTGGGGCTACAGGGAGACCCTGCTTCAAAAAGACCGAAAAAAAAAAAAAATCTTGCAGTGGTAAGCACATCTGGTGGAGCTGCATAGTATCTTGATTCTGAAGTCCTGGTCCCAGGAGCAAGGCCACACCCTCCCTGGATTTGCTAAACTCCCAGCTCCGGGTCTGTCCTGGCCCCCACTCTGCCTTAGGCCGGTTCCCTCTGCTCCTGGGGCTGCCTGCCCAGTCTTACCAGTTGTAGGCAAGCTGCAGCTGCAGCCTGGCATGGTCAGCCGTTTCGATGGTGATGACGTCAGTGAAGAAGTCAGGTCCCAGCAGCAGGCAGAGTGCGCGACGGGCGTGGGGACGCTTGGGCCGGCCAGCAGAAAGGGACAACACTGTGAACTGCTCCTCTGGATCCAGCGACACTAGCTCGGGCCCGAAGACCACACTGTGGGGAGGTAGAGGTCAGACTCCGGGGCGCTTCCCCTGACCCCCCGCAGCACCTTCCGCTGGCTCACCGAGCTCTCTTCGCTCTGTAGTCGTACACCTGTACCGCTGCATTGTGTGGCACGCGGTAACTGACCAGGCGGGTCTTGTTCCGGGGAGCCGAGGGCTGATGGCTCTTGGCTGGGTCCTTCAGACCTCTGTCTGCCAGCGGGTCGTGGCCCAGGTTGAGCAGCTCCTCCACCCCAGGAGGCAGCTCCTTCTCCCACAGGACTTCATCCTGGGTCAGCATGTAGGTACTTCCGATCACAGCCCGCACCTTGGGGCGGGGGGCAGTGTTACCAGCCAGGGTAAGAGGGTCACCCCGGAGCAGCCCTGAGACTGCAGGAAGTCTGGGCTCACGCCTGGCTGCCCAGACATGGCTGCCCATCTTTTCTTGCACCCTCACCCCTCGTGTTTTAGAGTCCTCATCTATGTATTGGACATGGTGGGAAGGACCACATGGGGGTTAAGGAATGAGGAGCTTTTCACATGTCTAGTTCCAAGAACAGCACTTGGTGTATGTACAGTAAGTGATTGATATTATTTCTAGAATCTTCCTTGCCAGAGCAGCTGAAAGGGTGGCATGGGAACAGATGCAATTGGAGGAAGTACCTAGCAAACATTAATGCCCCCTTGAACCCTGGATTGTTTCAGTATTGCATTCTCAGGGAAAGAGGTTGGAGAGGTGGTCCTCAGTCAAGCCTCAGGTCAAGGTTTGAGGTGAAGCAGCAGGAAGGAGAGTCCACTGGGATGTGGGCAGGGGAAGGAGGTTCTTACTGTTCCTGGACCACACTCCAGTGAGACCCTTCCACTGGAACACATCTGCAGTAGGGCAGAACCCCTGTCCTAAAACCTAGCTCATTCGCTCAGCTGGATATTTAAGACCACTAGGGCAGATGTGCCATGGATGGCTTCACACCTGCCAGCCATCTGCACAGCTGCTATGAATGCTGTTGGGGTCCTTCCTCTACCACTACCCCCACCGCTCCCCTTTAACACCTCTCCCCCAAAGGAAGCCCCTGCTAATGTTGCCCACCCCTTGGCTGATACCTTTCCAGTTTTGACATCTTGCACATAGATGCCCTCATTTTGGTCCAGAGGGATGGCCTGGCGTTCCTCCACTACCTCCACCTTGGCAGATGGCACATACTCCAGGGGTCCACGGATGAGCCAGCGGTCTCCTGCCTGGTGGGAGACTTTCTCCTCTCCTTCCCCCTCCTCCAGGGGCTGCAGGGCCCTCAGCAGCAGTCCCTGCTGCTCTGACAGCACATACACATCCTGGATACCTCGTTCCAGCCTCTCCCCTGGCTGGAGAAAAAATGACTTCTCTCCCTAGTGAAGAAAAGGGGAGGTTAGGAGCTCCCACTCAGGGCTACAACTGAGCCACACTGCCTCAATATACCCTCTGGCTTGCCACCTACTATGTGACCTTGGACCCAGTCTTCTGATGGCATCTCTCCATCCCCAAGCTGTACAGGCTTTTCTTGAAGACAGAAGCCCAAAGCACCTAACTGTAGCACCTTGCTGTGTTATATGGACAAATGTTGTCTGGTCAAAAACACCCCCAAAAGATTTTGTTAAATGTCAAGAGTTGGATCCTCAGGCTAAAACAGTTTAGAATTAACCTAAGCCAGGCATGGTAGCCCTCAGTCTTTAATCCCAGTACTCAGGAAGGCAAAGGCAGGGGATCTCTGTGTGTGCAGTAAATTCCAGGCCAGGTGGGGCTACAGGGAGATCCTGTCTCAACAAAGCAAAACAAACAAACAGCCTAAGCTGGGTTCAGTGCACATGCTTGTGATCTCAGCACTCAGGAGGCTAAGGCAGGATCATCCTGAGTTCAAAGCCAGCCTGGGTAACAAACTGAGAGCCTTGCTACAAAAGTTGAAAACAAAACAAACAAGCCCAAAACAAAACAGTCACATCAAATACATTTAACCCATTTCTCTTCATTTCTCCCAGGCTTTAATTGAGATGGTATAATTTGAGGGTTGGCAAACTCTGGTCTTTAGGCCAAATTTGGCCTGTGGCATATATTATTATTTTTTTTTTTTTCCAGATGGGATCTTGGCATGTTGCCCAGGTTAGCTTTGAATTCCTGGGCTCAAATTAATACTCACTCCTGCCTCAGCCTCTTGAGTAGCCAGTACATACTTGGCTTACTTTTTTCTTTTTTTTTTGGTCTTGAACCACAGAGATCTGCCTGCCTCTGCCTCCTGAGTGCTGAGACTAAAGGCATGCGCCACCACACCCAGCAAAGCTTACTTTTTTTTAAGACAAGATCTTGCTATATAGCACAGGTTGGCCTCAAATTCACAGTTGTCCTGCCTCCTGAGTGCTGGGATTACAAGTGTGTGCCACATCTAGCTCAGTTTACATTTTAAATATAAATACAGACATCTCTCTGTATCTATGGATAATGGGTTCTAGAACCCTATCTATCACAAAACTCAAAATCTATGGATGCTTAAGTCTCTTATGGAAATGGTGCAGTATCTGCATATGGCCTACACATCCTCCTGTGGGCTTTAAACCATCCACACATTACTGGTAACATATAATACTATGTAAATGTTGTATCAGGAAAAAATGATAAAAAATCTACACATGTTCAGTACAGATGCAATTTTTTTTCCTCAAAAAAATTATTTTTGAGAAAGGGCCTTAGTTGTCCTGGAACTTGCTATGTAGACCTGGAACTCATAGACATCCTCCTGCCTCTGTCTCCCAAACACTAGGATTAAAGGCATGTTCCATCACACCTGACCCTCTCAAATATTTTGTGGCTAAAGAGTGCTATGTTTGTGTATGTGTATATGTTATGCAGGTACATGTGTGTGTACACAGGTACGTGTGCATGTGAATGTACATGTATGTGAAGACCAGAGGTCAACCTTCGATGTCATTCTTTGGAAGCCATCCACGTTTTTCTTAATTTCATTTTTTATTTTTATTTTTGTGTGTGTGTGTGAGTGTGTGTGTATGTACATGCGTGCACATGTGTAGAGGTCAGGGGTAACTTGCATAACTTGCAGCAGTCAATTTTCTCCTTCTACCACATGGATCCCATGGATTAAACTCAGGTCATACAGGGTATGGTTGCATACTCCTTTAATCCCAGCACTTGGGAGACAGAGACAGGCGGATCTCTGTGAGTTCAAGGCCAACCTGGTCTACACAGTGAGTTCTAGGCCAGCTGGGGCTACAGGGAGACTCTGTCTCAAAAAGGCAAAAAACAAAAACAAAAACATAAAAAACCTCAGGTCATGAGACTTGGCGGCAAGTGCCTTTACTCCCTGAGCCATCTTGCCAGCTCTACCTTGTTTTTTGAGACAGAGTCAAAAATCTTTAGGACCTGGGGTTCACTAGGACCTAAGGCTCAACGATCACTGGCTGGGCAGTAAGCATCAGAGATCCTAGTGGCTCTGCCCCCTAGCACTGGGATAACAAGGACTCACCACCACCCACACGCAGCTTCTTCATATGGGTTCTGGGGATTGAACGCAGGTCTTCCTGCTTGCCCAGAAAGCTCTTTTACCAACTGAACTATTTCCTCAGCTCCTGACTGTGTTTTCATTGAGATACAATTCACAAATTTTACCTGCTGAGAGTATATAATATAGTTGTTTTAGTAGACTCAGACTCACCCAACCATCATGACTACGTCAATCTAGAATATTTTTATCACTTTGGAAACAAATCTGTGCCTCATAGCAGCTACCATCGATCCCTACCTATCCACCAACCAGCAGTATTCGTCCTGAGCCTCTGGATTTACGTATTCTGGACCTTTCAAACAAATGAAATTAGACAGTATGTGGCCTTGTGTGTCTGGCTTCTTTCTCTCAGCTGACGTTTTCAGTCTTGTCTGTCATAGTATATAGAAGTACTTCATTTCTTTTAATAGCTGAATGATATTCCATTATATGGATATGCCACTTGTTTTTTTCAAATCCATCTTTGGGCTGTTTTGCTTTAACTTTCCCTGCCTCCCCCCAACTATTTTTTATTGAATTTTTTTGTACATTTCATACAATACATCTTAATTACATTTGGACCCCCTCCCCTATCTGCACTCCCCCCCCCACAACCCCTGCCAGATTTCCTGCATTCTGTCATATATGTGAAGGCCTATTGAGTCAAGTTTGTATCCCCAGATGTCCCTCAGTTTGAGTTCATCTTTCTTTCTTTCTTTTTTTGACTTTTTGAGACAGGGTCTCCCTGTAGCCCCAGCTGGTCTGGAACTCACTATGTAGACCAGGCTAGCCTTGAACTCACAGAGACCTGCCTGCCTCTGCCTCCGGAGTGCTGGGCTTAAAGCCGTGCTTTTTTTTTTTTTTTTTTTTTAAGACAGGGTCTCACAGTGATCATCCTGGCTTGCCTGGAACTTGCTATGTAGACCAGGCCTGCCTCAAACTTAGATCCCCATCTGTGCCTCCAGAGCACTGGAATTACAGGCGTGTGCCACCACAAACCCCCTTCCCCAAGCTCCCTAGTGCTGGGATTAGATGTGCACTGCCACACCTAGTTTATGCCTCCTATTTTGTAAGTAAAATATCCCAGGAACACAGTGGCCTGCTTCCACGTTGTCTCTGCTGGGCTGATGACAATAGCTGAGTTGAATAAGTTCAGCAGAAGCCTCATTTCACACAAACCTAAACTATCTAGTCCCCACGCTGGCAGAGGCAACTTGCTGATCCCTGGTATTTCTACATGTAGCTCTCATGGGAGGGCAGGGGATGAGAAGGCCATGATATTTGTTTTATGTAAGATGTAGAACACAAAGGAGTGAGTCTCAGGGTGTCCAGGCATAGACAGAAGGGATGCTTTCCCAGAAGCAGCAGCAGGCAATGTGCCAGGAATATACACCCGTGTGTGCAAAGGCACTGAAGGTGTTTCTAAAATGTGTGTGTTGTGTGGAAGGAGTGAAGGGAAGGGAGCGGGTCCGAGGGCCTGCTGCCACTCAAGGGTGTTGATCCTCACAGACTCTGGGGAGGAAAATAGCTCACCTTGACAACACGCTTTTGTCCCAGTTGGTTCTTGCCATCTGGTCCCATTGGGTCAAGGATGACACAGTAGTGTCGTGGGCCCAGAGTGGTAATGGGTACCACTCCTAGCACTTCTTCATGTACATCTGGTACGTGGGCTGCTGTGTCCCGCACTGTCACCAGCCATTCTTCCCCCGTGTGGTGGGTCACTCCTCGCAAGTCCTGGAAGTTCTGCCGAGCCCGGAGGTGCAGGGCGGTCTACAGGAGGAGACACTGGGTGTTTGGGGAGGCCTCTCTCCAATGCCCCCATCCCAATGGCCACTGACTATTCTGTAACAATGTCTACCAACCTTGGAGGACTTAAAGTTTTATTTTTTATTTATTTTATTTGAATGAATGTTTTGCTTGTAATATAAGTAAGTGTACCTACATATATGTTGTGCAATGTCCATGGAGGCCAGAAAAGCAAGTCGGATCCCTTGGAACTGGAGTTACAGATGGTTAGCCACCATGTGGGTGCTAGGAACCGAACCCGAATTCAAGTCCTCTGCAAGAGCAGCCAGTGCTCTTAACTGCTGAACCATCTCTCCAGACCCCTGGAAGATTTTTTAACCCTTTCAGATGTTCCAGGATTCTTAAACAATCTTATCTGGTTTTTTTTTTTTTTTTTTTTTTTGGTCTTTTTGAGACAGGGTCTCCCTGTAGCCCCAGCTGTCCTGGAACTCACTATGTAGACCAGGCTGGCCTTGAACTCACAGAGATCTGCCTGCCTCTGCCTCCCGAGTGCTGGAATTAAAGGTATGCGCCACCACGCCCGGCTCTTTTTTTATTTATTTTTATGTGTATGTGTACACTGCCTGCATGCGTGTAAGAGCACCCAAGTTGTGCATTGCCTGCAGAAGTCAGAAGAAGATGTTGGATTCCCCTGAAACTGGAGTTACAGACAGTAACTCAGAGTTACTAGTGGCCACGTGCATGCTGGGAATTGAACCTGTGTTGTCTACAAGAGCTTTTAGTGCTAGCCATCTCTCTAGACACTGATATCTGTTTTCTTAGTGACCACAGAAATGCTGTTCCTCTTTCCTCTAGAGCTGCCTACCACTCTGAGAACTACCTAGCCAGGGTTCCCTAATCCATCGCCCAGAGCACAAACCTTTTCTGTGAGGATCACAGCATCCACCAAATCCAGCACCTCTTCAAACACTGCTGGGAGATAGGCACCCACTGAACGGACCAGCCATTCCTCACCTGGGCATGAGCAGGAGGGAAGAGTCAAGGGCCACATGCCTTCTACAAACACCTCTGTGCACAGCCCAGAAAACAGAGAACAGCAAAGAAACACCACTGTCCCCTGAGTCAAGCGCCTGGCAAGGTCCCTGCAGTCATTCCTCTCTATGAGGCCAGAGGAAACCTAACCCATGCCCCACAAGAATTTAAGACCTTCTAGAGGGTGGGCATGGTGGCACATGCCCATAATTCTAGCACTCAGGAGACTGAGGTGGGAGGATTTCAAGTTCTAGGCCAGCCTGGGCTACATAGGGAGACCCTGTCTCAAAAGACAATAACAACAAAAGCCCTTCTGGAATGCCAAGTTATTGTAGTTATATCTTGCTATGCCATATCTAAGCACCAAATTCCAATGTTTTTCCTTCTAACAATGGGTGACAGAAGGGTCTCTATTACAATAGTGAATGTTTGTTTACTGGAGCAGCCAGAGTGTCCAGCAGCAAGTCACAGCACACCCTGTCGGACCATATACCCTAGGCAAGTAACTTGAGTGCTGTGCCTCAGTCTTGCCACATGGAAAATCGGTAGAATCTTGCATTGTTAAAGGACTGAGACACCACCTGTCATTTTGAACCAGCCACATCTGACAAGAGTGGAAGCCCCATTTGTTCAATATATTTGAACATTTCACCTTTTCATCTAGAACCAGGCAAGACATGGCCACTGCCCACAGCTCATGATGAGGAGTAGGGGAGGGCAAGATGATGCAGGCAAGATAATGTGCCTGCAGGGCCAAGGCCAGGGTGGGGCTAGTGTGGAAATGCACCCACTGTAAGAAGCAGCAGGCAGACCTCAACAGCTCACAAGAGGCACCAGGGGAAGCTGGGCATGATGATGCACTGTAATCCGAGCACTCAGGAGGCTGAGGCAGAAGGACTGCTATGACTTTGCAGCTTTCCTGGGCTACGTGAACAGTACCTGGCTGTCAGGGACACATAACAAGACCCTGTCTCAAACAAAAAAACCCAAAGAGACAGACAGGTAGACAGACCAGAGAATCCATAGTGGTGGCACATGCATATTTGGCAGGGTGAGACAGGAGGAGTGCCACAAGTCATGCTGGCAATCCTAGCATTCAGGAGGATAAGGCTGGAGAACTGCAGTGAGACTTTGCCCAGGCTTCAAAAGGCTTCTACTTTCCCTGCAGGCAAGGCTCTTCCTGCCCATTCACCAGCAGTGCCCCTAGTTAACCCTACCTGTCACTCTCTCCTTGCCATCCCGGTCCCAGCATTCCTTGCGTGCCCTTAGCCGCAGGGCCTGGTTCTGTTTGATGATTGTGGCTTGAATGATTTCCATGACTTCCACTTCCTTCTGGGGGATGTATGTACCTGGAGAGGTAGGAGGAAGCCAATGTCGATAGAGATGTTTAGGTAGTGAGGGGAAGCAGGAAGCCTTGGCCCAGACACAGCCCATGGGATGGAGACAGAACTCACCAGGTCCCTCAAATAGCCACTCGTCTCCTGCCAGTACCTTGTCTCCATTCTTATCCTCAAAGTCCAGCAGGGCCTTAAGATGCAGGGCAGTGTTGGGCAGAACCACTTGCAGTGGGGTATTATCCTACAGGGAAAGACGGGGCATAGAGTGTTTGAGGCTGTGACCAGGGCTCAAACATGATGCTTGGAGATCAGAGCCCACAGCATCAATTTTGGGGTGGGGTGCAGTGCTAGGAATCAAATCCAGGGCCTTATGTATACCGAGCAAATATTCTACCACTGAGCCACACATGCAGCCCCAAATAAAAACTTGTCTACAAATAAAACCCTGGCGGCATGTACAAAGTGGGAGGCCTGAAGAACTAAGGGATGAGGAGCCAAGAGCATGATGTCCTCCACAGAAAGTGCCCAGGAGTTGTTCAGAGCCAATAGCAACTAAGAACAAGACTGGGTAGAGGACTTGGCAGGAAAAACATCCAGAAATCTCAGCAGTGACTGTTCCCAGACTGGTGTGCACTGATGCACTCTAGAAAGTCTTCAAGGGCCGGGCATGGTGGCACACACCTTTAATTCCAGCACTTGGGAGGCAGAAGCAGGCGATCCCTGTGAGTTCGAGGCCAGCCTGGTCTACATAGCAAGTTCCAGGTCATCTGGGGCTATAGGGAGACCCTGTCTCAAAAAGACCAAAAACTAACTAACTAAATAAATAAAAAATAAAATAAATATTTGAAGGGATTAAAAAAAGAATCCTTGTTTTTTTAAAAACAGAACCAAACCAAAATAATCAATAACCAAAAAAAAAAAAAAAGTCAAGACCAAATCATTGTCAAAGTCAAGGTCATTACGGAGGAGGAGACCATATCAGAAAATGTCTCTCAGTCCATCAGCAACAACCACAACCCTCAGAGAAGACAGACATCATGAAAGCGAGTAAATGTTGACTGTAGCCCTCCTGGTCTGGGAGTACTTAGGGTTCCCAGCCTTCCAGGTCTGGGAGAGATAAAGAGGGTGAACCAACTTGGGGAGTCTGCAGGGAAACCTCAGGTTAAAGTGAGGCCAGGATGGGAAAGCTTCATTTCTCAGGCTACAGAGCTCAAAATATGTGTTCTCAATTACCTACGTCCATCACTCCCCACCCAGAGGCTGATTCAGATGGTCTGAGATAAGACAAGGGTGTAGATAGTTTTTTAGAAAAAAAAAAAACAACTTTCATTTTGCCAGTTTCAGATTGACAGAAAAGTTGCAAGAATAGTTCAAAGAACTCCTATGCACTTTTCTTTCTTTTTCTTTTTTTAAGACAGGGTCAGTTTTACTATGTAGCCCTGGATGACCTAGAACTTGCCATGTAGACCTGGTTGGCTCAAACTCATGAGAGATTCTCTGCCTAAGTAAGTACTGGGATTAAAGGTGTATGTGCCCATGCCCAGTTCCTATGAACTGTTTAGACTCCAGATTCACAGAGATCTGCCTTCCTCTGCTTCCCAAGTGCTAGGATTAACGAATTAACGATGTGCACCACACCTGGCAAGGATTACTATTTTATCATTCCTCATTAGTTCTAGTTTTTTTGTCTTTTTTGAGACAGGGTCTCCCTGTAGCCCTAGCAGGCCTGGAATTCACTATATAGACCAAGCTGGCCTTGAACTCACAGACATCCACCTGCCTCTGCCTCACGAGAGCTGGGATCAAAGTCACGTGCCACCATGCCTGGCTTATTTCTAGCTTTAATAAAATTTTTATTTTATTTATTATTACTCTGTATGTGTTCATGTGTTTCTTTTTTAATATTTTATTATTTTTATTTTATGTGTACAAGTGTATTGCCTGCATGTATGTGAGTGCACCCATGTTATGCAATGCCACGGAGGTCAGAAGAGGGCTGCGGATTCCCCTGGAACTGGAGTTAAGGACGGTTTGTAGCCTCCATGTGGGTGCTGGGAATCGAACCTGGGTCCTCTGCAAGAGCAGTCAGTGCTCTTAACCATTGAGCCATCTCTCCAGCCCCTGTGTGTTTCTTTTTAAAAATATTTTATTATTTTTAAAAATTTTATGTGTATGCATGTATTGCCTGCATGTAGGTAAGTGCACCCATGTGATGCAATGCTTATAGAGGTCAGAAGAGGCTGTTGGATTCCCTGGAACTGGAGTTACGGACAGTTGTTAGCTGCCATGTGGGTGCTGGGATTGGAACTTGGTTCTTCTGCAAGGACATGCAATGTTCTTAACCACTGAGCCATCTCTCCAGCCCCAGGTGTGTTTGTGTGTTTTTATGTGGGTGAGTACAGACCTGTGTGTACCATGGTACACATGTGGAATCAGAGAACAACTTTTCAGGAGTCAGTTCTCTTTCCTCCATGGTCTCAGAGAGTTTGAACCCAGGCGGTCAGTGTTCTGCAGCACCTGCTGCACCACTGACCCCCTCATTATTTCTCTCTAAGTGCCCATCTCCCCAACTGTGTGCATCTCAGGGAACACAAATGTCTGAGAGTTCCCAGAGTCACGATGTCAGGTACTCAAGAGCAAGAAGTGCTGATCAAGAGTCGTAGGTTTAGAAGACTTGTAGAACACTTGTCTAGCATGCACAAGACCCTGAGTTCTAGCCCCAGCACTGTAAAAAACAAAAAGGAAAAACATCAAAGAAAAGTGAGCTGTTGAGATGGGGCGGTAGATAAAGCCATTTGCTACCAGGCCTGATAACCTGAGTTAACCCCACATGGTAGAAGGAAAGAGCTGACTCCTGCAAGTTGTCCTATGACCTCTACAAACTCCATGGCACACATGCATTCCTCTCCCTAAATAAGAAAGTAAATAAAATACAATAAGAATCTCAAAAGCACTGTTTAGTAGAGGAACTCAAGAGTTTAAAAGTACAGAATACCAAGCAGGCGAAAGTGGAACTATCAAGGAAATGCAAGCAGGGATCCCTTGCTTGGCGGCCCAGGGTTTGAGCGTGACATGAGCTGGGTCTGGCTGTTATGGCTTCTGGTCTACCCAGGCAACAGTCAAGGCCTCTGGACCTGGATCTTGTCTTATCTGTCCTTGCTCTGCCACAGAATGTGACTGTTGCAGTGAATGAAGTGTTTGTACTTGGCATGACTCACGTAGTAGACCTGGCTGGAAGCTCTCGCAGGCTCTGGAACCTGAGAGACTAGATAGTGTAACAGGAGTCTCAAAAGAGGAGCAAGGCTATGTGATGTGTGTGAAGAATGGTAGATGGGAAGATGAGTGGAGGGGCAATGAGTCAATTCTGTCTCCAGTGAGAATCAGCAAATCTCTCTCCCCAGCCCTTCCTACAGGCTTTTGTCTTCCCACCAGGAAACAGTACAGAGCCCTAGGACCAGGCAACAGGACTGACAGAGTTGGGTGCAGGGGGAGTAAGGCAGGTACCTTTTCCAGCACCTCCCCTGGATACAGGGGGAAGGGATCCTGGGCGAGCCGGATCTCCTGGTCAGCATGGCGAAGCCTGACTTGCCCTGTGATGTCAAATAGCACTGAGTTCTGGGCATCCCGGCTCACAGGGTTGGTCACTATGCAGTAGTGACGTGGGGGCACTGTCACCATGCGCACAGGTGCAAATAGTACTCTGTGGGAGAGTAAGAAGGGGTGTGAGGACCCAGGCCCCCACTCCAAAAGAGGCAGTGAATGCAACAGAAACCTGCTAGCCAGCAGATGAGGCCACTCTGGCTTGGGAACTGGGAAGAGGAGGTGGCTCCTGCCAGCTAGGCCCTTAGCCAGGACAGCTCTAGACCAACCTCTCATTGTCCTGCCGGATGTAGGTCTTTGGCCCAACCTCCACACGGGACACATTGCTGTTCTGGTCCAGCACATGGATATAGTGGTATGGGGGTATCCGGATGATGGCCTCCTCAGTTGCCATGGTGAATCCCAAGCCCTGTGGGAACCTGAAAGACAGGTGGGGAAGACAAAAGATAAGCACAAAGCATTTGAGACAAGGCAGGGTTGACTCTCAAGATGGCCCTCCCTTTTCTACCTCTGCTCTGATTATCCCCCTCCCTCTTCCTGATTCCTGGGCCACTTTTTGTTTGTTTTGAGAGACAGAGCCTGACCTTATATCCAGACTGGCTTTGAACTCATGCTCTCCCTGTCTCCCTCTCTTGAGATTACAGGCATGCACTGCCACACCTCCCTTTCCCATCCAGACCTCACATCTGACAAGAAGTGCTTCCTGGTTAGCTACAGAAGCCCAAGGGTACTACCAACTGCTTTCCTAACTCCTACCCATTCCCTCTCCACATTGCCTGTGTCAAAAGTCCCTAGTTCTGGGGCTGGAGAGCTGGCTCAGCAGTGAAGAGCTCAGACTGTTCTTACAGAGGACCTGAGAGAAGCTTGCTGGTGTCTCTATAGGCAGGCAGCTTTTATTCCAGAGCTCATGAAGGCCTGGTTCATTCAAACGTCCTCCTGTACCCTTTCCCCTTCCTATGCTTTAAGCAGAACAGCAGAGGCGGTCCACCAGCACCTAACGGTTCCCAGACTGATTAACAGCACAGCAATGCATTCTGGTCTCCTCCATCTTCTTTGGTTTGTGGACACCCTCAGCTGCCTGCATTTGTGAGTAGAGTAAGGGTAAAGAGAAAGGGGAGAAGGATGATTTTCTAATCCACCCACCCCATCCTATCTACCTCTGAATCCTGGGTGGTTTCATTCAGCGCTTTACCTGCTTGTGAATGTCACACATCCTATCACTGCGCATTCTTACACCCAGTACGCCCTGAACCTTGGGTATGTCCGAGTCAGACAATGCTAGGCAATGCAGAGCCTCATTCCCAGAGACTGTACCACTTCTTCTCCTTCCCCTTCCCCTTCTCCTTCTTCTCTTCCTCCTTTTTTTCCCCCTGGCTGAGACTGAATCCAGGCCTGGCACATGCTGAGGCACATGCCTGGCACAGTGTACCGCTCACCTGTACCCCAGTCACTAGACCGTTTGGAAGCCACTACAAAGCAGTGGTTCAGCCATCCCATTAGTCACCAGCTCCTTACTTGAGTAAGAGATGAAAGTGAGACACAAAGGATATGGCTTCCCACAGGAAAAAAGAGGCAGAAACCGTGAAATTACAGAACCAAGACTGGAAAAGCCCCAAGAGGAGTTCCATTAGATCCATACAATCTATACATTTTCAGTTTTTTTGTTTATAAATTATGAGTCTTCACAAGGTCACTATTTCCAGTTCTCCTGAAGAATCAGGAGACCAGGAATACAATAGCATGCCCATATTCCCTATGAGAAAAATGTCAGAATCAAGGAGCAGCTGCCTGCTGTGGATGGGCATGAGTCTGCTGTCTCTGTCACTCACTCCTAGGTCATGTATGTATACTGGACACCTGTTGCCTGCTTACCCACAGAGGTCAGAAAGGGGCATCAGATTCCCCCAGAACTGGAACTACGGATGGTTGTTAGCTGCCATGTGTGTGCTGGGAATTGAACCTGGGTCCTCTGCAAGAGCAGTCAGTGCTCTTAACCCCTGAGTCATCTCTACAGCCCCTACTACTGTTTTGTTTTATACAGTTTTGATATATAGCCTAAGCTGGCCATGAATTTGTGATCCTCCTGTCTCTGCCTCCCCAGTGATGGGATTACAGGCATGTATCATTGTGCTCAGCCTGGTTCTTGTTGAAAATTCTCTAAACAAAGGCCAGGTGTGGTGTCAGTGCTACATAGTGAGACCCTGTCTCAAACAAACAAACAAATAATTTTAAAAAATCTTTAAATTAGTATTGTCCAATAGAACTTTCTTCAGTATTAGAAATACTCTAAATTTTCCGGGCATGGTGGTACATACCTTTAGTCCCAGCACTCAGAAGGCAGAGGCAGGTGGATCTCTGTGACTTCAAGGCCAGCCTGATCACCATAGTGAGTTCCAGGCCAGCTGGGGCTACAGGGAGACCCTGTCTCAAAAAAAAAAAGGAAATATTCTAAAGTCTTTTTTTGTTTTTTTTAAATAGAGTCTATGTAGCCCTGGTTGACCTGGAAACCACTATGTAGATCAGACTGCCTCAATTTCACAGAGATCTGCCTGCCTCTGCCTCCTAAGTGCTGAGATTGAAGGTCTGTGCCACCATGTCTTTACCAACTGAGCCTAAATTATTAAAAAATTTATTTCAGGGGGCTGGAGAGAAGGCTCAGCAGTTAAGAACACAGATTGTTCTTGCGGAAGACCCGGGTTTGAATCCCAGCACCCACATGGTAGCTAATAACTGTCCGTAATTCCAGTTCCAGGGCATCTGACAACCTCTTCTGTCCTCTGCGGGCATTGCACAACACGGGTGCACTTACCTACGTGCAGGCAATACGCTCATTAAAAAAAAAATTATTCTAGTTTTATTTATGTGTATATGTGTAGGGGTGCTTGTGGAGCCATGCTGTGGAGGCCAGAAGAGGGCACTGGATCTCCCTGGAGTTACGGGAAGTTGTGAGCTTCGCATCCACAGGTGGCCAGCAAGCCAGCATTCATTCATTCATTCTTTTTTTTTTTCTTATTGAGACAGGGTCTCCCTGCAGCCTTGGAACTTGCTATGTAAACCAGGCTGCCCTCAGCCTCTCAGAGATCCACCTGCCTCTGACTCCCAAGTGCTGGGATTAAAGGCGTGAACCACCATGCCTGGCTAGCAGCCTACATTCTTAACTGCTGAGCCATCTCTCTAGCACCTGTCAATATTCTACATCTGCTCTGCCTCTGGCCTGCTTCTGCCACACCCAGTTCTACTGAACATGGGGAATGTGGCTAGTTCCTCTGAGAAAATAGATTGTTACTTTTTTTTTTTCTTCCTTTTGAGACTGGGTCTTGTTTTGTGGCCCAGGCTGGTTTTAAACCCTCTATCCTCCTGATTAACCTCCTGAGTGCTGGAGTTACAGGCATACACTGCAATGTCTGGTTAAAGCTTTTGTTTGGTTTTGCAGTGTTGGGATTGTAGCCCACAGTCTTGCATATGCTGGGCAAATGCTCTATGACTGAGCTATATTACATCCCTGGGGGGGGGATTTAATTTGGGTAGCAGTATAGCTCACCAGTAGAGCATGAGGCCCTAGATTCAGTCCCCCACATGGGGGTGGGGGGACTTCTTAAATTTTAATTTAAATAGGCCACTGTGGCTGGTTGATCCCATTTTAAATAATACAGTTCTAAGTATTGTGACCCAGATAAGGCCAATGACTCATTCACACAAAAAGTGGCACTATCAGGACTCCAGCTCTGAGGCAATGTCTGATTCTTTTAAAACAATTTATTGTTGCTGGGTGTGGTAGTACATGCCTTCAAATCCTAGCACTCAGGAGGCAGAGGCAGGCAAATCTCTGTGAGTTTGAGGCCAGCCTTATCTACATAGTGAGACTGTATCTCAATAATAATAATAATAATAATAATTATTATTATTATTATTATGGCAGTATTGAGGATTGAGCCTAGGACTCACAGACACTAGACAAACTCTCTACCACTAAGCTACATCCTCAGTTGGTCCTTTTTCAAAAGGAGGCACAAAATATTGGCACACTGGTTAGGGACCTGGATTCAGAAGGCTGAGGCTAGGCTGGGGGTGTGGTTCCATTGGTAGAGTGGTTGCCTAGCATGCATGAAGCCTTGGGTTCGATCATATGCGTCACATAAACTGGCATGGTGGCTGGCATATACTTGTAATCCAGCACTCAGAAGGTAGAGGCAGGAGGATCAGGAGTCTAAAGTTATTCTTAGCTATACACGGAATCAGAGACCACCCTGGGTTGTATGACACCCCATCTTAAAACAAACAAACAAAAAAACCCCAAAAAGTGGAATGAAAAAGGTTATAGGGTTTTTGTTTGTTTGGAGTGTGTATATGTATATGCATGTGTATGTACAGGTGTATGTGGAGGCCATCCACCTTTTATTTTTTTATTTATTAAATTACTATCTGTCTTTCTGTCTATCATCTATCTATCATCCATCTATCTATTCTCTCTCTCTCTCTCTCTCTCTGCCTGTCTGCAGACACTCTCAAAAGTCAGAGGCATCAGACACCCCTGGAGCTGTATGCCATGGTGTGTGTATGCAAGTCAGAATGATTCTCTGAATAGAGTTGGTTATCTTTCCATAATGTGGATCCTAGAGTTCGAACTCAGGTTGCCAGGCTTAGCAGCAAGCACCCCTTACCTGCGGAATCATCTCTCTAGCCCTAAATTGGTGTTTTGTTCTGTTTTTTTCTTTAAAAAACCAGATTATCAGAACCGGAGGAATGGTTCAGTGGTTAAGAGTACTGGCTGCTCTTGCAGAGAACCAGGGTTTGATTCTCAGTACCCACATGGTGGCTAACAACCATCTGTTAACTCTAGTTCCAGGGGAATCCAACGCTCTCTTCTGAGCTCTGTGGGCATTGCACTACACGGGTACGCTTACATATATGTAGGCAATACACTCATACACATAAAATAATAAAACTAATAAATAAAATATTTTTTTAAAGACTAGATTGTCTCTAACTAGGAGCTGCAACTTGCCAATTCCACTAAGGTTGGTTGGCCAGCAGGGTCCAGTGGAGCTATGATTTACAGTGCATGTTTTTTTATGTGGGTGCTGGGGCTTGAACTAGGGACCTTGTGCATGTATGGCAACCACTTTACCAACTGAGCTATTTTTCCTGAGGTTACAGTTTTGATGCTTTTATTTGGTGGAGGGGCATACTTTCTACATCAGAGGGATATAATTCTGCTTGCAATGGTCAATAGTATCTAGAATTAACAAGGAGACAAATCTCAGGGCATATCTGTGAGAGAGTTTCTATGAGGTGGGAAAACATAGTCTAACTGTGGGTGGCACTGTTCTATGGGCTCAGGTCCCAGGCTGAATAAAAAGGAGAAAGTGAGCTAAGTACTAGCATTCAACTCTTCTTCTGACTTCCAATGGATGCAGAGTGACCAGCTGCCTAGGATCTCAACTCTGCCTGTGAGAAAAATTCTCAAGGTGCTTCTGTTCCTCCTTTGTCCAAAGGATGCATAAAGTAACTGACACATTGCCTCTTGGTGTTTTATCTTGTATGGAATTTGACCTGGATACTTTGCTTGACGGATTTTTTTTTTGCTTGAGGCTAATTTCCCTAAACTCATAGGCGGGTTAGTTTTCTAACTTCTGAGCTCTGGCTCCTGTTTTTGGACTAAGAGTCTCCCTCTGATTCCTGGTTCTGTTCTTCCCACTCTTACTCCTGCCCTGTGTTTTTGCCACTGCCCAGTGTGTTCACCTTTGCTTCTACTCCACAGCTGCTCCAGGAGAGGAAATGGCACTATGGAGGACAGACAGGGATCAAAGCCTGATTTTCCTACACAGGGAGGGATGTGCTGACTGAGGCCTTCTCCCCAACTTGGCATTCAGGCTTAACTCTCACTTGTTTATTGGTTAGGATGGTAGCAAAAGTCTTGTGTCGCCCCAGCTGTGACCCAGGTATGACTTTGCTGGGTAGAGGCACAGCAAAGCAGCCCTTCCCACAGTCAAGTGCAGCTTTTCCCTGGGGGCTCCTTTGCCAGGTTCTCTGCAGCTTGGCCAAAAAACCGAATGGGACAAGAGGAAGGGCTTGGGATTCCAGCAGGGTTCAGAGGCCCCACAGAGAACATGTGAACTCTAGAAGGCCCTCAGGTGGGAATAGGCTCTAGGAATAGCCACTATTGGCTCTTCATTGGACATTGCCCCATTCCCCATGGCTGAGGCCTCTCCACCATCTGCTACCCCAGCTGGGCTTAGTCAGGGGGCTGAGAGCCTTGCTCAGCTCAGTGACTCAGCAAGACTTTGTCATAGTTAGCTAACCAAGCTAGGTTCCTGCCTTGTTCTGAGGCCAAGCCCCTGCTTCAGTTCCAGGATCTCATTTCATGTCCCTGACTACTCCCCTACCATACCATACAGTTGTGTTTTCTACCAAGACCACCTGCAAATTCTTTCAGAGCAGGTCCTGCTTTTACACCCCTGCCACTGTATCTGTGGCAAGTCTCAGACTCTAGTAGTTTACAAATGACGTGTAGAGTTCATGCTTTTTACGTCAATTGTCAGGACCCTCAAAAGACAGTGGTAAAGGATTGTGCCAACCTTCAGATGGTCCTGCCCAGCATCTCAGGTCTGGCCCCAAGTTTTGCCTACTAAAATCTCCCTCTGTCTCTGTCTCTCAGATCTGCCCCCAGTCAGCTCCCAAGTCTTGCCTGATTATAAGTGCTTCAAGTGTCAAGAAGTTTCTGCAAGAACCATAAACAGTTTTTACCATATTATTGGTAACAGAAGCTGGGTTCATCGTACAATTCAAAGTAGGGCTTGTGGGCTAGGGGCATAGCTCTGTGGTGATGTGTTTGTGCCAAACCCTGAGATTAATCCCCAGTACAGCAAATGCAAAACAGGGAGAGGCTCTCGATCCCAGTCTCTTTTCTTAGAAGGGTTCACTCCACCAGCCAGGCTGGCCTTGAGCTCATGGCAATCTTCCTACCTCAGCCTCTCAAATGCTGGGATGACAGGTATGAGTCACCATGTGTTCCTTTCTTTTTCCTTTTGGAAACAGGGTTTTGCTATGTAACCCTGGTTGACAGAATACTATGTAGCCCACACTAGCCTTGAACTCAAGGCAATCCTCCTGCTGTAGTGTTCCGAGTGATAGGAATATTGGTATACGCTACTATACTTGGCTTCATTCCTAATCTCTTAGCTCAAATGTAATATTGATGCATCAGCCAAAATCAATACGAGTCACAAATCACTCCATTTGAGACATCTTCAGGATTCCCTTCGAGTGGCTGGCACAGTGAATTTGAAACAGCCAGTGCCAGGTGGTCTTCAGGGAGCAGCAGGGACATGATCTGCAGGCCTGATAGTGACAGTCTCATTCCACCTCAGAGCTGCAGAATCAACCCACATTTTTACCAGATTCCCCAAGATTTGGGCACATGGCAAAGAATGGGAAGTGTAGGTGCACCACCTCAACCAGCTGGAGATTTAGAGGTGGCTGGGGATTTCCTCAGGCCATGTATCTCTGGGGATTTGGATTTATTGGTACAGGGTAGGGTCTACCACTGATTTTTTTTAATTAAAATATTTTTTTGAGACAGGCTCTTACTATGTAACCCTTGGAACTTCCTATGTAGACTAGGCTGTCCTCAAACTCACAGAGATCTGTCTGCCTCTGCCTCCCAAGTGCTGGGATTAAAGGCATGTGCCACCATGGCCAGCAGCGCCACTATTTTTAAAAGCTCTCACACTGACTCAAAAAAATTGAAAACCACTCTGAAGATGAAGGTAGGAGGATCAGCAGTTCAAGGCTGGCATGGGTTATATAGAGAGAAATAATCTAAAGGAATAAAGAGGCAGTAATCCCAGCATTTAGGAGGCAGAAGTTTGCAGCTTCACGCAAGCCTGAACTAGGTAGTAAGTTTCCAACCGGCTCAGGTACAGTGTGAGACCGTATCACAAGAACAAAACAGGGGCTAGAGAGATGGCTCAGTAGTTAAGAGCACTGGCTGCTCCTGCAGAGAGCCTGGGTTCAGTTCCCAGCACCCACATGGCAGCTAACAACCACTCACAACTCCAGTTCCAGGGGATCAGACAGCCTCTTCTGGCCTGAGGGCACTACGTGCACATGGTGCACACATACATGCAGGCAAAACACTCATACACATAACATAAAAATAAATTTAAAAAAAAGAACCAAACAATAAAGAGGAGCAGTAGGGGGCTGTCAGCCTGTTAGGTCCCACCATCCAGCACGACTCCGAACAGTGACTCACAGAAACTGAAAGTCACTGAGCCTTCCTTTGCTGGACTGTGAAGTGGCAGTAAAGTAACCGTGTCCTGAGGCTGCAGGTATTAGAGAAGGGAGGACATGTCTCTCACACGTCAACCAATCAGACTGCTCCTCAAGCACAGGGTCTCCAGTCCAAGGTGGTCCTGAACTCGATAATAGGCTGAGGATGATCAGGAATCCTGACCTTCCAACCGTCACCTGTGAGTGGGGAGGCAAGCCCATTCCAGCTATGATTACATTCCAGATTGAATGGTTCCTTTTCCTGTGGCTAAGTTTCAATTTCCCAAAGTCAACACTAAGTATGTAGACTACATTAACACTACCCAGCTGAAGCTAGCCTGGTGACTTCCCTCTTTCACTTTGTGACAAGCGCCCTTCTTGGGCTTATGAGGAAATAAACTTACTCCCACCACCCTGGAGCCGCCTCCTCATCTTCCTTCAAAATATACCTCCCAAGTGCTGAGATTACAAACCTGAAAGGCTCCACCCAGGGTGGGAATTTTATTCATTCCAGCCCCTCCCCTCAAGCTTGCCCAGCTTCAAGTAGCTCCTTTGTCCCCAACTCTGGACTTTTGGTGCAGGCAGGCCCATTGAAGAAGATGCTGATCTAGCCCTGTCACCAGACTGCCACCGACTGTGGGCTTAGGAAAAGGTGCATATTCAGTATGAGTGGGACTTTCTTCAGTGGAGCTCTCCTTTGCTGACCTCTCCTTCCACCCTGATGGTTCTGAGGATTGAACTCTGGTCATCATCAGGCTTGGTGGCAAGGGCCTTTACCTGCTGAGCCATCTCACTGGTTCCCTTGAGAAAATCTTTATGCCTGGTGTGGTGGTTCATACCTGTAATCCCAACACTCAGGAACTTGTGGCAGAAAGATTGGCACAAAATTGAAGTCAGCCTGGACTACACAGGGAGTACCAGCCTAGGCAAGGCTATAAAGTGAGACCCTGGGGAAAGAGGAGAGAGGGGAAGAGAATTCTTTCTTTTCTTTGAGACAAGGGGGTCTAACTATGTAGCCCTGCAGGGCTGGCCTGGAACTCACTATGGAGACCAGGTTGCCCTCAAACTCACAGAGATCCCCCTCTGCCTCCCAAGAACATACACCATCATGCCCAAAGAAAGAGAAAATCTTAACAGCAAGAGAGTCAGGAAAAGAAAATCTTAACCTGAGCTTCAGCCCAACTAGGCCGCTTTGTGGTAGGGGAGCAGCTTGGTGACCACCAGGTGCCAAGGAACTCTGCCAGCCCAGGATTCTGCTCCCCAGTTGCTCCAGTGAGTGCCAATCACTGGACATAAAAGTGGCCCAGGAGCCAGGATTCAAAACCTCTGATCAAGATCAAAGTTTTCTCTGCTAAACGTAATTTAGCTGGGATTCTTTTCCTTTTAAAATTTCTACTTGTGTGCCTGTCCCGTGTGTGGATGCCAATGGAAGCCAGAAGAGGGCTTCATGGCCCTGAGCCACCTGAAATGTGTGTGGGTGCTGGAAACCAAACTCAGGTTCTCTGGAAGAGAAACAAGCAGTCTTTTTTTTTTTTCTAACCTTTTTGAGAGAGGGTCTTCCTATAGCCCCAGCTGGCCTGGAACTCACAAGAGATCTGCCTGCCTCTGCCTCCCTGTGCATTAAAGGCATGCACCACCATGCCTGGCTGCAACAAGCAGTCTTAACCACCGAATCATCTCTCCAGCCTCACTGGTTTCTTTTGAGGAGTCTTATGTTGCCCAGGCTGGCCAAGAATTCCTGGGTTCTAACAGTCCTCCTGCCTTATCTACCAAGAAACTGGGACTACCGGCTCTGCTGCCACACCTAGCTTCTGGCTGAGACACTTAATCCTATTCACATTGCTTCCCAGGCCTTACCCAGGATCCAGAATGTCAAAGTTTTCCATGAGAGCAACTCTGCAACATCTGAGGCAAGCACCCTCACATAACAGCTCATACTTTGAACAATCTGTGCCACAAAATGTGTTAAGGACCTTCAATTAACTCATCTTATCAACCCAAGGAAGCTAAGGTCTTGTTCAGAGTCACACAGTTCTTGAAGGCTGGCCAGTCTTCATCCCTGAGTTATTGTGACAGGAGGCAGGATGATTAGACAAAAGTATCAGGGAGGCCAAACTGGACTTAAAGGACTTGGGTGGGGTTGGTTACTGCCCAGGAAATGGTGTGTCAATGGCAATTTAAAGGTAAACATTTTTGTGCCAGGCGTGGTGGTGCACGCCTTTGATCCCAGCATTCGGGAGGCAGGGGCTTTTTTTTTTTTTTTTTTGTCTTTTTGAGACAGGGTCTCCTTGTAGCCCCAGCTGTCCTAGAACTCACTATGTAGACTAGGCTGGCCTTGAATTTATAGAGATTCACCTGCCTTTGCCTCCCAAGTGCTAGGATTAAAGGCGTGTGCTTTTTTATAATGGGCCAGGGCCCAGCCTTTGCTCTACCACAACCTGGAGGTATGAGGGTTTGACACACACAGTAGGGAACTGAAGGTGGTGGCTGTCCTGCCCAACTGCCCCACCTCAGGGCAGGCTGGGTGCCTTGTGGGCCAAAGGCAGAGAAGCAGACAGGCGTTTCTGGGAGAACAAATTGGCACTTTATGTGATGGTCAGCCTCTCTTCCACAGCCAACGGGCCCACAGGCCAGCAGCAGAAGACATAAACTCGGGAGTGTTCTACTCCAAACACAACTCTAAGATCCTTAGACTCTCAGGCAGGTGGGTGTGAGCCTCATAATTTTCACTTCCCCCTCCCACAAAGACCCTTCTGCTCAGGAAACTGCCCCTTCTGGAAGTCAAGCCTCCTTACGGTCATCCTGCTGCTACTTCTGCAGTGATAAGCCAAAGTCCATGGTCGGCACAGCCCTGGACAAGGCAGTAGGAAACCTCCACAGTTAGCAGAGCTGGAGACTCAACGGGGACAAATCAAATGCTGGTTGTTCAAGAGAAAAAGGCAGAGCTGAGGCCCTTGGGGCATGAGGGTGAGTAAAGCCAAAAACAACCCAGCTCCAAGGTGAACTCAACAGATTCTATAAGGTTCCCTAAATGATTTTTGTTGTTTTTCTCTCTATTTTTGAGGTAGAGGCTTACACTGTAGTGCAGGCTAGCCTCAAACTTCTAGCATGCTTTCTGTCTCAGCTGCGCAAGGGCTGGGTTGGTTTACAGAAGTGAGCCAGGTTCCCTAATTTTTTAAAAATTTTGGTGGTGCTAGGGACCAACCACATGATAGATATGTGGTGCCACTGAATTATATCTCCTGGACCCCATTTTAAGAGATAGGGATCTATCTCCTGGACCCCATTTTTTCTGGGGAATCATTCATTTGGTACAGTGCCTGCCTAAAACGCATGCAACTCTAGGTTTCATCCCCAGCACTGACTAAAACTGGTAGTGGCATACACCTGTAATCCCAGCACTCGTTCAGGATGTAGAGGCAAGAGGATTAGAAGTTCAAGGTCATCTTTGGCTACAGACTGAATTCAAGGCCAGTTTGGGCAATAAGAAACCCCATCTCAGGGCTGGAGAGATGGCTCAGCAGTTAAGAACACTGATTGTTCTTGCACAACACTGAGTTCGAACCCCAGCACCCACATGGCAGCTAAGAACTGTCTGTAACTCCAGTCCCAGGGGATCTGACAGTCTCTCTGACCTCTGCAGGCATTGCACGATATGGGTGCACTTACCTACATGCAGGCAATACACCCATACACATAAAAATTTTTTTAAAAATTTAAAAAAAGGAACCCTGTCTCAGAAAAAAAAAAGAAGAGAAAAACCAACCAACCAACCAACTAGGCCAGGATTCCTGGGCTCAAGACAGCCTCTTGTTTCAGCCTCCAGAGCAACTAGGTATTCCTACTGGGCCTGACAAAACTCACCACCCTCCATCTTTGGTGGAACCCTGATGTCAGACTTGGGGGAACAGGGATGCTGGCAAGGTGGTTCAAAATACAGAAAATTCAAGAAAGTGAACCCTCCCAAAGCAAAGCCACCTTCCTTCCCTGTGATCAGGGTTTTACTGGCCCAGAAATAAGGTACTGGAAAGTAGATTAGACAGCCTTGTAGGACACAGACACCCACTACTGGCTTGGAGTCTGGGGGCCAGAGTCCTGTACTCACATCAGTCAGGGTAGCTGGCTGCTGCAGGCCTCAGGTCTGGAAACTCCCTCATTAATCCTAGGGATGACTTCCCGGTAGGGCTGGGCACGCAGGGGCGGAGCTTGAGTACTTAAAGGGCCATGGCAGTACTGTAGGCTAGTTTGGCTGCCGCTGAAGACACTAGTTTATCCCATGCGCAGGAATTTCTGCTCTAGCACTAGCTGGTAGGGCTGGATTGCAACTCAAGAGGGTTAGAGGGCCTGATAAGGGGTCAGATGGTGACTGAGTGTACCTCTGCCTCATGGGGCTCCAATTTTCCAACATGGTGAATACAATTCTGCCACTCTTTGTTAGGTGTGGTGCCACAAGCCTTTAATCTCAGCACTTGGGAGGCAGAGGCAGGCCAGCCTGCTCTACATAGCAAGTTTCAGGCCAGCTGAAGCTAGAGGGAGACCCTGTCTCAAAAAAGATCAACAAGTTTCCCTGGGCCTGCACCACCTGCAGCCTCTCTCCTGGGTAAGTCGATCCCCCAGCCTCATTCCCTCCCTCAGGGGTAAGTCAATCTCGCCCTATGCGCCTTGACTTCCCCAGCCTCATTCACCCTCCCATCTCGCCCCCCTCCCCGCATCCCTCCTCCTATCCTGGGTCCTGACCCATTCCTTCCTCTTGGCACCCCAGACACCTGGGGAACCACCACTGCTTCCTGATCCTTTGCATACAGACCAACCCAGTTCCTTCTTGAGGTCCCCAGGAGCCCTCTGGACCTGGTCCCGCCCTCCCCTCCTTCTGCTTCCCTGGGCTGCACAACCCTCCAGCCTCATTCCTGGACACCGGGACTGACCTCTTGGCTTCCTGATCCTTTGTATCTAGAACAACCCAGTTCCTCAGTGCAGTCCCCAGGAGCCCTTGGGACCTCTTCCCACCCCCATCTCCCTTTGCATCTCTGAGTGTCATGGCTACCAGCTGCCAGAGACCAGCATCTTTCCTGGCCCCGGCTCCTAGGCCAGTCCAACCCCCAAATTCCCTAAGGCCAAAATCTTTCCTGGAGGGATCCAGGGTGAAAGCCTGGTAGCATCTGATGCTCATCTGACTTGGGCCTCTGTGGGAACTTCTGAAGACAAAAGCAATCTGGCCACTCCAATATAAAATCAAAAGAGAGAACTGGAAGCTTAGAGGAACCAGCTCTTTGTGCCCAAAAAGTAAACTACAAAGGCACATAAAGTTTACAAAAAGAAGCAGGCCTAAACTTGAAGGCTTGAGTCTCACACAAGAATAAGAAACTACAAAAGGAATTCACGTCAAAATCACAGAAAAAAATAATAACATGAAAAACAAAAATAACATATCTCTACCAAATACCAATAACTCAAAAGAACAATTATAAAAACAATAAAAAGACTTCAGTGAATTTAAAGAACAAAGAAATCAAAGAACTTAAGGAAGATAGGGATAAACTTCTGAATGAATTCAGAAAAGAACTAAAGACTACTCAGGCGGAAATGAAGAAGGAACTGAATCACTCAGTAATCCAATTAGAAACGACAGGAGAAAGCCTTGCCAATAGGATGAATGAAATGGAAAACAGAATATCAAGACTTGAAGATAAAGTGGACAAACTAGAACACTCAAGCAAAGATTATGAAAAATTTAAGAAAGCACAAGAATGGAATATGCAGGAATCGTGTAACACCATAAAATACCAAACTTACGAATCATAGGCATATAGGAAGGAGAAGAATCCCAAGAAATGGCATGGACCAGATAGTCAACAGAATCATAGAAGAAAATTTCCCAAAATTAAAGAAAGATATGCCCATACAAATACAAGAAGCATATAGAACACCAAACAGACAGGACCAGAAAAGAAACTTTCCATGGCACATCATAGTAAAAACACTAAACATACAGAACAAAGAGACAATTCTGAAAGCTGAAAAAGATAAACAAGAAGTCACATCTAAAGGAAAACCCATTAGGATTACAGTTGACTTTTCAGTGCAAACTATGAAAGCCAGAAGAGACTGGACCAAAATATCCCCAGTTTTAAATGACCACAGATGCCAACCCAGATTACTATACCCAGCCAAAAAGTCTATTACAGTTGAAAAATCTTTCATGACATAACAGACTGAACTCCCCAGTTAAAAGACAAAGACTAGGTGAATGGATTAAGAAACAAAACCCACCTTTATGTTGTCTGTAAGAAACTCATCTCACTTTCAAGGACAGGCACTATCTTTTTTTTTTTTTTTTTTTGGTTTTTTTGAGAGAGGCTCTTCCTCACCCCCCAGCTGTCCTGGAATTTACTATGAAAAGCAGGCGGCCCTTCATCCAAAAAAGCCCCCCCTGCCTCTGCCTCCCGAGTGCTGGGACTAAAGGCGTGCACCACCACACCTGGCCTGACAGGCACTATCTTAAGGTGAAAGGATGGAAAAAAATATACCAAGTAAATGGTACTAAGAAAAAAAGCAGGCATTGCAATTCTAATATCTGACAAAATCAACTTTAAACTAAAACTAATTAGAAGAGATAAGGCCCACTTCATTCTGATCAAACGAACAATAAACCAAGAAGATACGACAATCATGAACATATATTCACCAAACTCTGGTGCACCCAACTTCATAAAAACAATACCACAGGACTTTAAGACCCAGATTAATCCTGACTCATTAATAGTAGGGGGACTTTAATACCCCACTGTCTTTATTAGATCAACAGAACGGGACAGAGAATCAACAGAGACATCTGAATTAAACAAAACCATATATCAAATGGACCTAACAGACATCTATCGAATATTTCACATAAACACCAAAGAATATACTTTCTACTCAGTGCCCCATGGAACTTTCTCCAAAATCAACCACACACTGGGGCACAAAGAAAGCCTCAACAAATACAAAAATATTTAAGTAATTGCATGCATTCTATCAGACCACAATGCAATAAAGCTTAAAATCAACAACAGAAGAAGCCCTAGTCACCACATGAACACATGGAAATAAAAACCACACACTCCTGAATGATGAATGTGTTAAAAGAGAAATTAAGAAAGAAATAAAAGTATTCCTGGAACTAAATGAAAAGGACAATACAACAAAACAAAACCTCTGGAACACTGAAATCTGTCCTTAGAGGGGAGTTTATAGCTCTAAGTGCCTATGTCAAAAAATGGGAAAGCACACAAATAAATGACTTAACATTGCAACTCAAGACACTTGAAAAGCAGCAACAAATGAAACCCAAACCCAGCAGTCAAGAAGAAATAATAAAAATCAGGGCA